ATAATCTGTATCTAATTAAAAATATTTGATTTTTGAATATTAAAACATAAAATCTGATTTTAGAATTTGAATCTTCAACAATAGGAATAGTCATAAAGTCCAAAACTGGCAAGTGGACCTCATCAATTTTGTCTTCTGTGTCACGAAAATATTTGTTTCAATTGAATTAACGTAAGTGCACGATTTTTTAACAATAAGTAAAATGAATTTTAAGTCTAAATATCGTACCCACAGATATTTTATTGGTTTAAGCTCAAACAATCTTAGCCTTAACCGAAACTATGAAAATTGACAATTTGTCACTAATTATTTTACTTAAAAATCCAAGACTTAGCTTAACAAAATCCAATGCAAAATTGCGATTTATAGAAAAATTTGATGAAAATCTATTGATGAAATACGCAATAGGATTCCGAATCCCTTTGTTTCAATCCCCTTTAATCCCAACTTTACAATTTGACAATACGATCCAATTATGAAGATCAATATTTCGAATTTGTTTAACAATTTCTCTCGAATATAATTAAATATATTTACACATGTGACCCAACTATATTTTATGATGGATGCGAATATATAAGAATGCATTAATGGATTTGTGAATACTTAAAGATCACATAAAGTATAACAATGTATTCCTGTCCCCTATCGGATTTTATGACAATTATGACTATGTCTAACTTATTTTCAATTGCTCGAAAGTAAAAAAAAAAATAATAAAAAAATCACAAGATTCATACAATTAGTAATCAAGTGTAAATAAAATAAATCTCATTATAATTGTTCAAAACTAAAAACGTGCTTTAATGTCAAAAACAAGATTCAAAAGTTAAGTTTCATAATTCAAAGTTCATCTTGATCCTGGCACAATATTACTTTAACCTAACATGTTGTGACGAAGAAAGCTAGAGAAATAAAATTCATTCGTCACCTCGAATTCTTGAATTTGATGTTTGGATTTCTTCAATTAAATTTTTCATTCTTTGCCTCCTTTTGCAATCAATTCTCCAACCCTAATTAAGTGTTGATAGTTGGTATTTATACTAATCTTCAAGGGGTCCCAAAACTCTCTAAGAATCGTCCAATTAGTGGCCCAAAACGAAGTTTCCTTATTTGATTGAAATTCTGAACGAAAAAACAAATTCTAGTCTCGAATGGCCTTGGCAAGTGCCAAGTTGAAATTATGGCTCTCGCCCAGACAGTCCAATTGGTCTCTGTTTTCCTTTTTCAAGGCCATGCAGTTGCCCGATCCATATAACGGGGCAAGTGCCCGGTTATAATAACTTTTCAATTTTTGCATTCTGGTCATCTTCTTCATTATTTCCTCCGTTTTGGTTATCCACTTCAAGTTATGCCTACTTTGATTCTTCAACTTCTTCTCATGTACACTTTATCAATTCATCCCTCTTTCTTTTCCAATTGCTTATGAATATGTCCGAAACTGAAACAAGAGAAAATTAATGCAAGTTAAGTAAAATTTAACACTTTGACAACATAAAAGTTTAGCAATACAGCCCAGATAAGTACACACTTATCATTATGCAATCTTGTATTTTTGTCATTTCCTAGCTTCCCTTCCTTGACGGCAAATTGAAACAAAGAAAAACAAATAGATGAGCTAAAAAATTAAAAAGGAAATAAAAATAAATTAACTAAAGCAAAAAGTAAATAAGTATATGGGAAATGGGAAATGGTGCCATGCTGTGAAATTTTCCCACGCGTGGAATGTTATCGTGATCAAGTAATATAATAATGAATAGAACGTGAAACCTACGGGGACCCATTATGTACTAATTAAACTAACTTCAATCAAGAAAACACTCAATCAATTATTTGGTTTTCATTTACTTATATCCAATTATCAACTAAATTAACTAATGAAATTATGGAGTTTAATCAAATCACGAAAGTCACTAGGATCTTGAATCCACTATTATTAGCCTACTTTAATTTTAATATCCATTATCAGCCAATTCATATTTTTTTTTCCTGTTTGATAGAAATTAAAATTCAGATTTTAATCTAAGTCATACTCGATGTCACCGTTTTGAACCTTTTTTGCACCATAAGTCATAGTCTCCTATTTCCACCCTCCTCACAACATACTGTTGGAAATATTGAAGAGGAGAAATGAATATAGAAACTTGAACAAGATAAAATTAAAAATGAGGTTCGAACACGTAAATGATACGTTGTCCTAAAAACGATATTCGCCTCCTCTAATGTGCTTTTAGAATGTCCGACAAATAATTTAGAGGATTGACAAGCGTTCAAGGAATAATTTATTTGTTGTTTCTTATATTTGGAAATAAAAATCTATCATCTATTTATAGTATTTCCATCAATCTGCCTCGAACAGGCCCAACAATTCATAAAATCATGAATCAACACCAAATTCAAATGAAAAAACAGCCCAACGACTATAAAATTACCACTACCACCCACATCCCCACATAGATCCCCCATAATACACAGACAATGAGAAAAGATTAGGGGTCAGTTTTGCTTGAGTTGAGCCACAAAAACTACCTTCTCTGGAAAAAAAAATTGGTGTTGCCCATGATTAGTCATAGATTAGAGGGTTTCATAAATGGGACAAAATCTTGTCCACCAGAATCTGTTATAGTGCAAATATCGAAACTCAACTGAGGTTGAAACTGTGCTAAGCCAAGAAATTGAGGATTGGATTGCTCAAGATCAAACTTTATTTGGATGGCTCCAGAACTCTTATTGATGTTGATGTTTCCTCGTAGGGCTAAGTAGATGTGTCAATCCGGGTGGGCCGGGCCGGGTCGGCCGGTCAACATATGAGCCTGATAACGGTCCACGTGAAAAAAAACCGCCCGCTACGGGTTCCGGGCCGGCCCACAAATTTTGGACTACAACCCAAGCCCGCCCACTGACCCATCCAGGTCGAGCCCATACAACGATTTATCCAAGGATCAGTGCAATTCAAGGGGCAGATCCCAATATTGTTCGAAAATTGGCAGC